AGCAGCGAGCGATAAAGGCAGAAGGAGAGAGAAAGATGAATAGTTCCAAGCATCACGAAGGGCTGACCGTTTTGGTTCTCCCCCAAAACCGATGTCCGGTCAGCACCCTTGACTCGAACGTTGCCCTTCCCGTGTACAGGACTTTTATGGCGCATAAATATCAAGAGCTCTCCATGATATCCCTACTGTATTATCAGGAGACGCTTACAGTCTACGAGGGGGGATGCAGAGACCAGAACTGTTATTTGGCGCAATTCTATATCTTCTGTCCCACACCTACGAGCATAGGAAGGAGGGGAGAGAGAGGTTACCGGGAATCCCGGAACAACTCCGTGATGCTGGACTTCCGCCAATTCAGTCTGTCGGAGAGAAAACAGCATTCCGCTCGCACTTTGTACGAACTACACCGCTCGCGCCCAAATTCAATCTACCGTCCGGTTCATCCTTTCCTGAGTAAACGAAAGGCTATCACGAGCCAGCTACCGGAGTATTCGCTCTCGTCGTTCCGGTAGTCGGTGAGATGGAGCTGTAATTTCTTCAGACAGAATTGCATTTACGGGAGCTACCCTCGTAGTCTGTAGACGCAAGGATTGCAAGAGTCGTAGATATTCTCTGATTTTCTCCGAGTAAAGCAACGGCACTCGATGAGCAACGTACTGTAAGATCGGAACTATCGGACAACGTGAAATAAAGCTAGCGAAAGTTTCAGCAGTCTGCACTTTCAGACGGTAGATTCTAACAATCTTAGATAACAAATTCAATTTTATGGCTAAGCGGAAAAATTGAACGTACCTACAGTATTAATTTTCCAAAAATTAATTCTTCAATTCAAATTTCTATCATTATTTTTCCATCACTTATCAATCATGGAACTTCTAAAATAAATACTGCACTTTTATCTCGAGAAATAATTTCCAAAGAGTTGAAATTGTGAAGATATTTCCTTTTCACTAACTTGCGAAATTCGTATCGGAACACTTTAACGAATCCTCACTCTAGTCGTAATCTCCTTAACTTTCGAAGCTTCTCAGATCTCATCCGTCAAGAATTCGCCAATAGAATCGCTTCGAATCGAAGAACCGTCGAAAGGCTCTCATTCAATGCACGGCGCAAACGAGGCTGGTAATTTCTTTAACCTCCCCGGTTCAACCCCTCGACCGGTAATCCACGATTTTCATCGCGTATACATCGGGTATAAGAAATTCACTGAGTCGAGAGGGAGATCGCATATTGTCAGGCCATCAGTATCCCTCGCTCCGTCGCTGCCGTTGCCGTCGCTGCTCCTCCGATTCTTTCCCCCGCGTGCCCGTCCAGCTACAGTACACTCTCTCTCGGTCTCGAAACACGCCGTTGGGGTGGGCAAGAGGTATATCGCCCCTATCTGTATCCGTGTATGGTTCCAATAAAACGGGAACCACTCACAGCTTTTGTGTCGGATACAGTGGCGGTGCCTGCCGAGGCGATGGAGACGGTGGAGAAGGGGGTGCTAGTGGTTGTTATCGGCCATCAGGTTTTATATCCGTGCCGGGAAGGGGGCGACGGGAAGACACATACATATACCCAACACACACAAAAAGAGAAAGAGAGAGGCGGTAGCAAGGGGATGGTCAAACGATACTGGATACCGTGTGTTTCACAAAGATTCTATGAAGATTGCCCGGGATTTTATTACGAGAGAAATGTCGGTTAATAAAAATGAATACGCGAACAGAGCGAGCAAGAGATGATGCGAGGGAAAGAAGGATAGAAAGAGAAGAACAAGAGGGATCTTTCTTTTTATCCGTCACGCGCTCTTCTTCCTGAATTCTTCGATGTCGGCACTCGATGGCAGGCGATTCGAAAGTGCGATTTTCGCGTCGGGTGCGTAAACTTCGTCATTTAGATCACTCGGAGGCCGGGTTGGAAAAAGCGGTTCTGGTCCCGCTGCCAGACGCGTTTATCTTTTCCCTCCATCCACTGTGACTCAGCAACCGATCGACGCCGAGATCTCTCGCGAGATTGGACGTGTGAAATGGGTATCGATCCGCGCGTTAATGGACGTATCGTCGGGAAATTATTATAACGAACGGTTCTCACGAATATTTACGACGTGCAACGGAATTGTTTCTACCTCCTCTCAAAGTATATTTGTTATCTACGACTCAACTATCGAAGACTCAAATAAAATGCGCGTCGACGATATGATCTTCGCATCAATGCAATGAACAGCGCTAACATGACTTCCGCGAGTGCGATTAATGCAAGACGAAGAGTCACTCTTACCGATCGATCGCGTTCTCGGCGTGCAGCAGTTTTGCTGCCAGACCATCGATTTGCAAATTCGCTCGGTGCAACGCTCTCTCGATGGCACCCTCGTAATACAACAGGCGCGATTGACGCGTCTGTTGCAGCTGCAATCCGTGAGTAATCCGATGCGTCGCCAACGAAGTTTCAAGTGCTAATTCATGCGCACTCCGGGAAAGACGATATATCGAACCATCGAATCAATAGGGACCTGTCTGAACGTCTTCGGGCAGAAAATCCAATGAAACGCGTCTCGACACGCGTGGCGCCTCGCGAGGTAGACGGAGATAAAGGCATTCAAGATCGTATGTAAAAGGGTGCCCTCGGGTAAGCGAGTCTCGCTTTTCCCGCCAGACCGTTACGTAATAACAGATTTTCCAGCGATCTTGGCGGTACCTTGCGTAAAAAGATCAGAGTGAGAACAAGGAAGTAGACGGCACACGCCGGGGATGAATAAAACAGGAATCTATGTTACATAAGTACTCTTTCTATTACAAACAGCTAATTTTCTGCGTATCTTCGTAGTATAGTAACACTTCAAGCAGAATCTATTTATATTTTTCAATCTTCGCTTTCTCGATTAATAATAAATCTGATTTTCTACACACATGTACATTCTCGGAAACGAGAAGAAAAAGTAAATAATTACTTCGTTCTATTAACACTAGAACCGTCGTCGATAATGCTACTTTGGCTCGCTAATCATTTTAACTGTTTCTTCTTGTATTTACATATACAGTGTATAATAGTGAAAATAAATAATTCAAACAAAATAACTTTTCCCTAACTGAAAATAAGGATAGGAAATTATCAAATTAGCACCTTTAGCAATTCCTAAAGGGATACCATTGGTAGTTCTAGCGTTAAAAGCATCGTTCAGGCTCTGTTTATACTTCGAATCATAATAGCACAATGTCATAGCACGTATTTTAGCACAATCACAAGGGAGAACGATTCGTCGTTCAGTCAATTCTCCTGGTATTAACACAGACGTTTCTATCTATTATTCAATTGATGAACTAACCGCCGTTTCACGACGCATTGTTATTCACCATTGGTTGCTGATCTATGGCCGGCGCATAATAAACCAGCTCGATCCGCATCTATCTCTTCCCCACCTTCCTCTATCGATCGTCGCCCTGTTTACGTTGTAGCGTAAACGGAATTCGTCTTCCTTCATCGAAAACGGTCGGCGACGACGACAATGTCGACAACGAAGTCTCATCCAATTTTTCAGGAACGCAAGCCGCACGGAACGAGTCGGTTAATCCACCAGAATCTCGCTGACGTAGCTGCTTGCGATAGATTCACCGAATTCCAGTCGCGATAGCTCACCGTTGTCGATACCGAACAGCCTGGGGCGTTTGTCGATGGAAACGACGGTAGTATAAAAAAAAAGAGAACAGAAGGGGAGGAACAGGTCGAGGAAGCGAGAGGCAAGAGGGGAAAACAAGTCCTTTCTTGTTTGTTCGATCCCACCCGCGATGGGGTCAAAGGCGAATTGACTGCCGTGTCATTTGTAACAATAAAGGTAGAAGTCCCGATGTTTGGATCTCCAACGTTCGTATCGGTGATACGCAGAGTCGACTTGATGACCTTTTTCTAAGAGATATAGCTGACACTGTCGTATACGCAATGAAGTTGAGTGATGGAAATCGAACGTTTTTGCTTCCACATGGCCGAATTACTTCATCCGGAGAGAAATAAAATCTAAAGTAGAGACTTCGTCTTTCCACCGCGATAACTGTATAAATCAATTCGATTTCGTGACTTTATTAAAGGTACTATCTTTTAAATGTATAAATTAAATTATTTTCGGATTTCGACTCTCTCCGTCCGCACAACTTCGACTTTATTCGAGGTAGAAGTCATCGCCCGACGAATCGTCCTTCTGTGAATCAAATGAGAAACGAGAGGTTTACGCTTCTATCTCCCCTGGTGTTCTTCATCGTCGCGACTATTCGTCCGCGTCATAAATCTCCGCACTATACGACGTTTCTCAGTTGACCATAAGTACGTTACTTTTTGATAAAGCGGTTCCGTTGGTTTTCTCTCGAGCACTCGGTCGTTCGCGTACATTTTCAATGGGTCGAGCGTTTCGCCTTGCGATCTAGGAGGCGCATAAGGAGGCCTGAGTCGATTGTTATAATGCGGGCTGATGTATGACCGGCATAAGTTAGTTGACAAAGACTGTCCGAAATTATATATCACACAACGAGAGAGAATAGAGCGTGTCGGGATAAAACGGAGCAGAGATTTCGTGAATGATCTACAGATCTCTACACGCATATCTTGATTCGTTACGGAATGGACTGAAGTTTTGGAAATATGTCTCGGATATTTGTCTCGGCATTGAAGGTCAGAACGAGTGTCTCAATATTTCGTCCTAAGAGTTGCTGTTCATAGTCATTTAAATATGATATATTATATTCGCTCTTCTTCGCTGCATTTGTATTCTGCCGCTTCGCTGACTAGATCATTTTACTTTCTCTCGAACTCCTCTATTTCTCGGTTGGCGACTCTATTATTGATACTCGTCTTTGTTGGTAAAATTTTTCCGACAAAGATTTCCGACAAAGATTCTGCGAAAATGCACAGTAAAAATATGATTCCTTTTTTTTAACTGGAAAAATCAAACGGATTGATTCCTATTGAAAATTCTTTTTCTGTAAGTTTTTTAGTTTGCTGTTCAAAAGTTTATTTATTGATTGTTCTAGGGACTCCCTAGTAAGCCATAATGCAAGATGTGGATTGGCGGAGAAACTCTTCCGAGATTCTTAAGGTCTTAACCAATGAGCTGTCAGACTGGAGTGTGCCTTGAAGTAGTGGAGGTGGCCAAATGGAGGTGGAGCAAATTGTAGTTCGAGAGTGACAGCAAATTAAAATGTATCTTATATGTATAGCATTGTACTGGTTTGATCTCTTACTAGAGAGTCCTTAGTTTTTATTATTAGAAATACAATGATAAGTTTTATAAATTATCACCTATTTTTCTCGAATTTATATAAGTATTTTACAAAATTCTAGGATACCGTGATTGCGATTGTCGATATGCTCGCGAGTTATCATAACTTGTGTGCATATTTCTATCATTTCTGCACAATATTCGTAAGTATTATATATTTCATGTTTTTTCCTTCCTGGCATCTTGTGCCGACGCAAATTTTACATTCCGTATCACAGAAATCTATCCCTGCATCGAATAACCGCTTACATCTCGGTAATTACCGTTAACGTGCCTCTCGCGTTTCTCTTCTTCTTCGTAGTTCTCGGCGACCGCAAATATTCGTACGATAGTCGTACATCGTACGAGGAGCTGGAGATGCGTGCTGGAGAGTCGGTGGAGTGTAGCGTAACGATTAACGAACAAATGGCAGGCGGTCGCCAGTAATTGTAATAATTGTAGGCCGCATAGTAGAACCACGCAGCTCCTTCCTACGGCGTCTCCCTTCGTCTTCTTTCCGTCGACCGAGGACAACCGAAGGAAGACAGGAACGCGCCATGTGTGCGGCAACGTTATTGTACACCTAAGACGCGTACAGGTACATGCACTCGCCATTGTTTTCCATCATTATCGGGTGCGAGGGGAGCTGGACGGTGGTTTAGATTCTCGACCTGTCATTAAGCCACTTTTTCGCGGTTTCCTTAAGGATCTCGATTTCCGTTCGTCCGTTCCACCGATGTGGAAAACGGCGGAAAGCCGTGCTATGTAGCGTGAGAAAATACGGAATTTTGCGATTAAACGGCTGCCCGATATACTCGTACATTGTCGCGTGCAAACGCTTTTCCTTTCCCACGCGTCTTTGCGCAGGAAACAATGAGCAGTACGAATGACGAATATATTGACACCTGTTCTCCTTTGCGTCAAGCATCGGAGAGCACGAATTCCTCCAGCACCCGGAGACTCTTGACAGTTCAAGGTATAAGATGAATACATGTAAGGCATCGCCGTGCAAATTGCAGCCTGAAAGTAATTACTCGTTACAATGTATATACAATGATCCGAGAGCTTATGAAAACATCGATCAGCATCAATGAAGAGAGACCGGTGTTACATTTTTTATTTCAGATCTCAGATGTATTGCAAAAGTGTCAGCCATATGCGATTTCTTCGGAAATAATACATGATATTCCTATCATTTTTTTTTATTGCGTATTGTCCGTTTCAAAATTAAAAATTGAAATGAACTTCTAAACGTAGATACAGCTCATATTCTTCTAGTAACTTGTCTCCAAGATGTGAAAGCTCCACGTAAAATTTTTCAAAGGATAAATGATCTCCGGTTCTTTCGAGCGACACGGATAGAAGATAAGTGATTTCTCGGCGAGAAAAACGCGCGGGAGAAAAAAAATCTGTATCCCAGTAGAATGAGTAGAGAATTCGTGCAACCGTTGTCGCGACACATAATAGCTAGTTAGGTCTCATTGTATCGGTAACGCGTGTACGCGTTATACATATATGCATGACAATGGCGGTCTTAGAGCATCGCTATGCGTTTAGTGACGCTTTTTATGACTGCATTCCGTGAGGGTCAAGGTGTGCGCTAATGCGCTGTAATTCTTTTAAACGGCCGTCAAAATTAAATTTTTTAGTTGGTCCCTTTCGTCAAGCAGTATCCGTCATCTCGCCGTCACTGCCGTGAAACACAGCCCAAGATATATCAAATATGTTCTTCTTCGATCATGAAGCGTTACATCGCTCGATCAATCTCTTGACGTTCAAATGTCGAAACGCGATGAAGAAATTGTATATTGGAACGAATGGGAACAAAGGTAGAAAAAGTAGAACAAAAGTATGGCGGTTGAAAGTTGTTATATTAATGTATTTATATTAATACTTTTATATAATAATGTTTTATATCAATAAGAAAGAAATTAAACATTTGTCACATTCCAATCTTATGACGTATTGATTTATTTTTATGGATCCATTATTATCACATCGTGTAAACAAATCGTTTGGTTTTTATTATCCTTGTTTATCTGTTGTTTTGTTATCTTATTGATATGCAGTGAAGATTTAAAATTTCGAATGCGTCCCTAATTTAGAAGAATATTCCTGGAGCCAGGTTCTTAAAACATATTTGCTTCTATATATTCGTTACTTTGTAAACTTTGATGGGGTGTCTGACAGATCGTGAGAATAATTTTCGAACGAGTGTCGGCAACTTTTTAAGATTTAACCGTGACGATGAAGTTCCTCGGAAGTTATTTAACCACAAGGAAGATCTCATGTTCTCTCGACTGTGGCGATAACCTATATTTTGCTTACAATACTATTGTCAGAATTTCTAATACTTTTATGACCATCTTAAACTTCCCATAATACAAAGTCTCAAAGCGTGAACACAACAGAGTTACACAAAGTTACCGAAAGCCACGGGTATCGATGAATCTTCTTCAACCTTTGCGAAAAGTAACGCAGTGGATTATTAGGCTCGATGGGTGTCCATCAGAATACGAACAGTAATCCTTATGAACAGTATTAAAGAGAAAATGGACTACCTAACATCGTCGATTTTTCAGTGCCAATTCGAAAATTTGTTTCGAACAAAAACTGTGACTAATTTCTGTTTTGTAACTGTATTTCTTTTCTTAGAAATATGCAAGCTATGATATTAGCTATGATATTAGCTATGTTTTTTTTTCATTTTGAGTCATTTTCGTTGACACTTTTACGACTGGTCAATTTATGATCCCCATTTATCTCACAGTGACATCACAAAGATTGTCCCAACAAAGATATGTAGATCCTAGTAAAATATTCAAATTATATAATATTAATCAGTAAATACAATACATTTACAATAAAAAGTTAATATGTATTAATTAATAATAATAATAAAATTAGTAAGTAATCAAATTAGTTTGTTATGATTAAGTTCGATGATAATATGTAAATCTAATGAAGATCGTATCTAAAGCGTCGAGTTCTATTGAAGTCATGACGTATGAAATGCATATTTTACGCGATCGGTGTTACGATACATTATCTCTCGATCGGAATACAATAACGAGGCGCTCCGTCGCATCGGAATCCTTGCCTCGTTCTCGATTAATACAACATTCAAAAAGATCGGCATGACGTGCGTATCGATCGAAGGTCCTTCGATCTAGGCTCAAAAATCCAACTTATTGTCACGGATCCGCGAGTGAATGACGTACATCGCACCTGCAATCTCGAATCGCTGATATTACCTGCAAGAAGAATCTTCCAGGTTTAACGTTCGACGCTACGCAGTGAGGAACCCACGCATCGCGGAAAATCGCGTTCGTCTCACCCACTGTCTCGCGTAACTTCCTTATAATTCTCTTGCACGGAGGAAGGAAGCAACGCCGCGAGACAAATAACGTAAGAAAACGTGGGACGACGCGATTGATCGCGATCGATCGAATAAATCAAACGACGATCTCGGTGGGATGACGTCCCACGACTACCGCATGTCTCCGTACGTCTTTTCATTCATCGATTCCAGTTTTTTTCACTTGTAAAAATACGATTTTGCCTTATAAGCATGCCGACGAGTATCGTCGCCGATCGCGGGTGCCGTTTCGCCTCGCCGCGTTCACCGAGTTGAGGTTTCCCGCGTTTTCCGCGGTGATCAATGACTCGAGACTCGCGGCCGCGCTCGTTGGCATCGTCGTGAATGCGCTCTCAGTGTGCAGCGCAATGCGCAATGCAGCGTGCGTGAGCGTGAGCGACCGACCGGTCGAGTAACACGCATACGAGCTCAGCGCGCGTGCCATACGCGATTGTGACATACGCGATTACCTTGGACTTATATCTATATAAACACTGATGCGTATAATGAGGTGTAGGACTGAAGTCATTGTCGACATCGATAGGCAGTTAATGGCGCGAATGTAACTCGCGGTTTTGATGTCGCTTGAATAATCTTGAGCCGCGATAAGCGGTCGCTGCGCGTGTTAAAATTCAACGCTGGCTATTTATTATTTAGCACCGCGCGATGGAGACGTCATTTGAATAAGGCTAGTCAGAGAAGATGTGGCTTGGCATTTTTACAGCTTCAACGTGTCGTTGTAAAGATAGCGATACTGTCACCATATGACATCTCGTAGAAGTATGGACGGATAATACTTTGATAAATACGTGACGTTGAAGTCGGAAATAATATATATTATTCAATGGAAAATAAATTATTTCTTCACTGTAAATAACTATCTTCCTACATAATTTATTGTTGCTAGAAAGCATTATAGAATTTATTTTAATAATAAAAGCAATGGAAATGCATTCTGACAGTGACGTATCAAAAATTCTTTTAAATATTTCCAATCGATCCATCTCCCTATTCTAATAGCTGAAAGTAAGTGCGTCTGACTCTTATATGCCCTTATTAACTTATATATTTTGTTATTGAAGATAAGTGTGAGGGGAAATATCGAAAAATTAACCACGCATAAGTTCGTCGAAACTATCTGTGTTTTTATTTTATCTTTGTGAACACGAGAAATGAAGCATAGACGTACGTAATGATGCGTGAAACGCAACATACACGTACGAGTGCGTAATGCGGAGGAGAGAAGTTATTATCGGCGCGAGCAGTGCGCGATAAGCGCATAATTAGATATACGAACGCGAATGCACGGCGAGGAATTAATCTCGCTTATTAATACCGCCGCGTCCATTAAATCGAGGCAAAGAAAAGCGTTGCGTTGTGTTGCGTATCGGTATAAGCTAATAATAATACCCCATCAACCTGTCTCACGCGTTGAAAAAGTAAAAAAAAAAGAAAAGAGAGAGAGAGAGAGAGAGAGAGAGAGACAACTCGGCGTTTCATTGCACGTGCGTCGAGAAAAAGTGATCGTAACCAGAGGATATGTTGCCGGCGATAAGATCCGCGCATTACTATAAAACATTCAGCAAACAGATGCAGTTTACGCCTAGGTCAGCTGATAATATATGATGCAATTAGTGTATGGAGCTGAGAATAATATCTCGCTTGGTAATCGT